AAATAAGCTGTAAAAATGAAATACGAAAAAGTAACTCAATTTACTTTAGAATTAACAGTACAGATGGATTTTGTTGTTAACCATCTAAATCAAATAACAGATTGAGAAGGGTCATCTAACTATCTTTGTGTATTTATAATAATATGGCAAGTCTAGTGTCGTTAATATCTGTCATTAATCAATCTGACTAAAGTTGCACAGAAATGGGGTCATAAATTAATTTACACCTCGATGTGGGATTTGGAATGCTAATTAGGTAATTATCTTTTTTACGCCGGCCAGATCAAAAGACATTTAGGTGGAACGTGTGCGTAATATCCCGCGAACGAACGAAAAAAGTTACGGGGGAACTTTTCTACAAACATTTCTCCACAGGACAACTAATCGTAGAATGGTACATGTTAATTGTATAAAATATTTAAGTTTTACTCATCAGTTGTTTATAATTTTTATTTACCCAATAATCAATTAACTTTGTTCATCGAGGTGTTTGTAATAAAGAAGCCTCGTTTTATTTGTTGATTGGCGGTTAAACAACATTTAATTGACTTGATATGAAATCTGAATATAAATTATTCAATGGATAACGGTTGTGATAAGATTAGGTTATAATGTCTAACATCGGTTAACTTCTTTTTAATAAAGGTATTTTACAATTACATTGGCAGTTTAATCACTCACCAAATGGCACCAGGAACTCCTGTCAAATTTCAACAATTTCCAATGATAATGGAAATTGATATTAATGTTTTGTATGCTAAGTGTTAGAATAGGGCAGAACTACATTGTAGAAGCCAAATGGATTGTTATTTGTAATCAGATTTTAGTGTGTTGTAAATGTTTTCATTTCTGACCAAAAAAAATATGTGACAACCCATGTTGACACCTCAGACGACTTAGCTGCTGTGGGCATATGTTTCATTGCCTGGCAACCTATCTTTATTGTTTACAGATTCGTTGATGGCTTCTACCCGATCAATGAAGTCAGTATGCTCTTTGTGTATGTGCAGGTTTCAGATAGCCACATTTGAATTATATATATTATAGATGGCACTACTTCTGCGTTAAAAAAATCTAATACATCTTCGTCAATTACCCAGGTGCTTTCAGAGCCAAGCCGGCCCCTGGATCATCACTTAAAGTCCGAGGATGCTACCCTGCTGGCCCTGAGAGGGAAACTTTGTAAAACTCTACAATCCAGAGTTTCTATTTTTCTCTTTTTCAAACTTTTGGGATCAGTAGATGTTGCCTAATGAGGAATCCTATTGAAATTCAGACATGCCGATTAATTTTATGGCTTGTTATTGCTAAAACTTTAAAATCAACCTATCAAAACACTACTGGTGGGTGTGTTAATTCTTTCAACTGACAATGAAAGTAATGTACCTTCAGAAGGGATATATATTTGTTTTAGATGTAATACTATGGTCTAATAACTTAATTGACTTTTAATCAGTAACTAATTACTTTAGCTATTAACTCATCCACATCAATCAAATATGATTGACTAGGTACAAGATTATTACACTTTAAAAGATATATATCAACTTGGTTTTATTTTAGTATATAATATAGATTAGATTATGTTGCGATCTGATCAAGATCAGATGTTTTTCTATTTCTTTTTGTTTGTTTTATATTCCATTACCGGTATTTTACTTTACTTGCCAAGTTTGTTTGCTTTCTGATTTTATATATACTAATTCCAATGCATTTATACCACCAAATTGTACAATAACCATGTTTTAGCAAATAGACTGTTGACAGTACTTATATGCAGTATTTTTTTATTAATATTAGGCTATTTCATTTCAAGGCTAGATGATTAGATCTGTCTGTTTTGTATTTGCAGTGAATAGAGGTTAGAGTTTTGGAAAGCTTATAGTATTTGGAAAAATTGGTAGACAGATTCTAAAATTGACTCTTGGTGCATTTTATTTTTTTATATGAATTGGCACACTTCAAATGAGAAAAAATGACCTGGTTGACCTGAGGGAAAAATTAAGCAAAAATTGTTACAATAAGAAATTCAAAATTGTACTGAACAAGTAGGCCTATGCCTATTTCTCACAGGTGTCTATCATAATGTGTAATGCATAACAGGTATATGTGATCAGCATGTAAAATCATCAATAACATCAGATATCTTATTTACATTGGCAACATAGATAAGTCAGATTTATTTTCCTAACAACTGACTAGAGTCTGGGGTGAATAGCGTTTGTGATATTGATATTTATAAAGCGTGGTCAAATTGATATTTTCCTTCTCATTAAAGTGCTTGATCTACTTCATCTCCCGAAATCCTGTTAGTTTGAAAGAAAGTGATTTATTTTCAATGTGGTAAAGGTTGGGAACTATATCAATGACAGTACAGCTGAATTTCATGATAAGAACTAATCTATGCTCTTCAAGAAGTGGGTAAATTCATACCAAAATTATTCCGATCACTTATATCGCTAGTGGTAATATCCCCCGTTTGTCATGAATAGATCCATCAAAATCCTTACAGTGATCTGTATAATACTTATGACCCAGTACTTATTATAGCTTATAATAATAGGTCAATTTATATCATTATTATTTATCATGAGTCAAACCAACCATAGTGAGATGAACTATTTATGTAACAACCAGAAACATGATTTTCATTCTTTTGTCTTGGATATATTTTTATACATGTTGAAATTTTTGGAGCCCTATGGCAATGTGGTCGTGTATTGCCGTTGTCCCATCCATCTGTATCCACGATCCACAATTTCTTGTGAACACTCTACAGAATACATTTATCATCTGATTGTTTTGAAATTGATATATGTGGTGTAAATTAGTGAGATGAAGAAGTCTGTTTAATTTCTTCTGGAGTTATGGCCCTTTTTTCACTTTGTTGCACCTTGTGGATGCTCTAACGACAAAAGTTATCATCCAATCTGTATGAAATTTATATGCATTTTTTCAATTTCTGTTAATTACTTCTAGAGTTTTGACCCTTGTTTCACTTTGTTGAACCTCTTATGAATGCTCGGGAGACAAAAGTTATCATCCAATTTGTATGAAATTGATATGCATCATTTAAATTAGTGAAAAGAAGAATCCTATTGAGTTTCAGCAATTTCCGTTTATTACTTCAAGAGTTATGGCCCTTGTTTTACTTTTGTTTTACCCGTTTGTAACACTCGAACAACAAAAAAAATATTTGTTCATAAGCTCTTTTTCGGTTTTTATATGCCCGCATTGAAATGTGGTCGTATATTGTCTTCACCCCCGTCCATCGGTCCTGCATCCACTAGAGGCTAAAGTTAACATCCAACTGACATTAGATTTATACACAGTGTTTAAGGTCATAAAACGAAGAAGCCTATTGATTTTCAATGATTTCCGATAATTACTGCCAGAGTTATAGCTCTTGATCACTTTGAAATATCTTGTGGACGCTCTAGAGGCTAAAGTTAAAATCCAATTTACTTTAAATTTATACAGTGTTTACGGTCATGAGACAAAGAAGTCTATTGATTTTCAACATTTTCTGATAATTACTGCCAGAGTTGATCTCTTTGATATATCTTGTGGACAGGCTAGAAGCTACAGTTAATATCCAATTGATTTTCAATGACTTTTGATAACTTGAACAGCTAAATCCATGATATTAAATGTTTTGTATACTAATGTTAGCATGGGGCAGAACTAGAAGCCAAACAAAGTCTAATTATTTTCTGATAATTTTACTTAATGGGTTGTTACTCTTAATCAGATTTTAGTGTATTATAAATGTTTCATTACCGACAAAAGAAAAAATATGTGACAACTCTTGTTGACTGCCCGAACGATTTAGACAATGTGTACACAGGATAGTTTTGTTTTATAACTTATCAACCATCTGATAACTAATAGGGAGCCACAGTGGATCAGTGAGTAAGACGTTGATTCGCTGACCTGGAGGTCCTGTGTTCAATCCCTGCGTTGCAGGTTGGACGGCCTTGCAAGGGACAATGTATAGTCATTCAAATGGGACAGAAAATCAAGGTCTCGTGTACACATTGGCGTACACATGAAATGAAATGAAATGGGGTTTATTGTCCTACTGTTCTGCTCCTATACTGGGCTAATGAAGACGGGTATATGGTGTACACATAAAAGAATCCTTGACAGTTGGAATTTTATAAAATAGTAGGTCATAGTGCTGCTGTCATGACACACTGTATGGCATATGCCCATCTTCATTAGCCCAGTCTGAGCAGAACAGTTGGACGTCAAACCTCATTTCATTTTCTGATAACTAATATGATCTCGTACAATCTTTTGCCAAATAATTTGTGACAAGCTTTTATGGAACACTCGGATGACTCAGCTGCTGTGGTCGTATCTTTTGTTATCTATTTTTTGAAGTTTATCTTTTGTATATATGTCTATCATTTCTTTTTCAAATTTAAATGGTTTATTTTTTCAACCTACACTTCATTGTTTGAAAATAGGCTTAATGATATATGGGTCTCTTGGTGATGTAACAAGTAGCCACATGATCAAAGGAAATTCACCTTTGTCTTTGGAATTTGCCTCTCTAATTTGGTTGAATCGTTATTGTTTTATTAACAAAGGGTTGTTTAAATATTTTTGGACCCCAGGTCTGTACAAAATAGTTGTTTTAATTTTCAAGTGTTAATTCTAATGGAAATTATAACTTTTACATGTAAAATAATTTGAGTGTTAAATTTAGATGATGTAATCATTGTTAATTACCAACAGATTGTCTGATGAAGGTTATATTCACTTCTATTATTCACATGTACTACATATCTCTGATATCTTTATGTACATTATGTAAACATACAAAGGTCAATAGGAAACCAATAATGGTTCAACTCTTATGAGATAAAATCACTTCAGCATGTTATGTTTGACTGTATTGTAATACATGTACAATTTAGATGGCCACAGGCACAGATAGAGATAGTTGTAAAGATATACCAAATCAGTTTTGATAAGAAGTGTGTAATTACGTAGCTAATGCACGGTATTTAGCTGCACTGTTTGAAAGAAATTTCTCTGGTGTCTGTTACAAGACAGCTACATCAAGAACAGCTTGTTATGTTTGATTTCTTCTCAAAGAATCTGAGCAACTGATGAATGTTTGTACGTACTAATGGATTGAAACATTGTTCAGATTGGATTTTTTGTGTTTTTGATGTACTTTAAAAACAGTGATTAAAGCTTATAATGGGTGGCTTTTAATTAAAGGTATTTATGGTTTTAATTAAAATTGGTAATTATCAGTTCTCTTGATATGAATTTTTATGTGCAGACCCTTTGAACAGTGGTTAAAGCTGTGTAATAATTAACCCATAGTCATTACAAATAGCATACTTTTAGATAATCTATAAATTTAGACAGTCAAATTGAGGACCTAATTGCGGTCAAGGAATAGGTCAATTTAAAGAGCAAGTTTAAGTTGAACTCGCTTGATGATCTACGGTTGAAAAGACAGCATGAACTGGTTTCTGATATATCAAAAGCTTTCTAAGGTCACATGTTCATATTGTATTGCACCGGTCAACTGAGTTACATGTAGCAGGCTTTTTCAAAAAGAGGTATTATTCACAGGTATTATTGTCATTTGAGCAAGATTATAATCTTCAATGTGAAAAAAGGGGGTGTAATGGACAACGCATATGTCAGCTATGTTTATTGTTTCTTCAAAATTTACCATACCATGAGAAAATATTAAATAATTTTGGAAGATCAAGTTTACAGAATCTGTAAATTTTATGGAAATTCTGAATATTAAACTTTGAATTATAAAAGTTACTTTTGTGTACTGATTTCATTTGATGAAAAATGGTAAATAATCTCAAGATGATTATGTTAATCTCTAGTTCTTGACCAAAATGAATCACGTTGGAAGATCATCCCATGCATGATAACCAGAAATTATTTCAATTATTTGGAAATTATTTCAGCAAGTTTCTATGCCAAGAGCAAGTATCCAAAATAAATTTATGCATTATAATTTAAAAAATTTATGCATCCTGCCTTTGTAAGGCGATAATTCATTTGTTTGCAGGATCATTTTAAGTGACAAAATTTGATAATTTAAATAAATCTCTGGATTAAAAATTTTCTTCGAAAGGTTGATTGTGAAAAACCGTAGAGAATAGAAACCTTTGACAAGAATAGAAATTTTTCAATAACCTATATAGCCAGCAATATAGTTTTAACAATTAATCTCCTGGGGCTACCTCTTAAAAGCCATTAAGATATGGGCCTCAGTAGGCCTGGATGATTATCGATTGTTACATTATTTGAAAGAATTACAAATAAACACACTAAGGACATCTATTATTTAATTATATTAGAAAATATAGCCATATACCATATTAGGCAAGTTTTGAACCGCATTATTTTTATCCCCAAAAATACATTTTGGACCCCTTACAGCCCCCATCTTCCCAAAGCAAAACAGATTGCCAAGGGCATGCTATACATACATCTATTTTGAGATGTACATGTACACGGTGCTAGAAATGAATGTTTTACTATTACTTAAATCAACATTTATATCAAAATTATCACATGTCCTTTCCCACTCTGATTAAATAACATTCAAATACAGATGTGATGTCATCCTTTGATGTACCATTATTTCAAATAATGGTACAAGCAATGTGCCAAGCGTATATTATGTATACTAGTTGAAATTTTGGACCCATGTGACGTATTTCATTGCAAATTACGTGCAAATGTCTGTATTTTAAGTTGTTTAATGGTCTCAAGCTTAACGCATTGCGTTATATATTGAAACTACACTTGAGACTAACCTCCCTCGTGTTGTTTCAATATACTACTTAATGTCTTGATCTCTCAATTATAAAACCACACACATTTTTCATTGTTTAGCGCACAGAAATGTACGACTTCATATTGGATGGCATGACTGGAATGAAGGAGAAAGTAAAATAAAATGAACAACACAAGGATGTACCAGAATAAAAAAAAACTTTTGTCTTTCCTCATACATTATCACAATTGTAGTTCTGGTATCATTCATATGTATTTATTTTATACATACTTTCTACTCATTCTATTACTGTATTTACCTTTTCACATTGAGTCAATAAGGAAAAACTTTATACAATTAGAGTCGAGTTGTGCGTAAACCAAATTTATACTCGCTATATTCTTGATATTTACAGCACAGCTTGATAATGATACAGATGTTTCTGCTCCTTTAAACATTTAATTATCATCAAAGGTGAATGTCAAATCAAAATTGATATATGTATATGTATGTACCTATTGAAAATGATCTTATGATAGAAGATGAAAGAGGGTTAACTTTGTGTTTCAAAGAAATTGTAAGGCAAATAAAGCCCTTGGGCTTCTTGATATACATGTGCAGAGATGATTACCGGTACATAAGATAATATTCAATTATTTTCACCACAATGTGTAAATTGTCTTCTGTATTTTTTGTGCAGGCCAGGGTGATTCTTGGCTTTATATACACATCAGATGAATGATATACATGTAGACATGATGTATATCTGATAGTACTATTTAGAGTAACATTACATGAAAGGTAACACCAGTCATTCTGTAGGTGTAAGGAATTTATTCTGTTACCTAGCAACTAGTGTCAGCCCGGCCATCTTTCTATGCAGTTTATAATAGAATAAATGATAAAACTCGCAAGTTGGGTGGTCATTTTGTTTGCTCAGATAAAAAAACAGAATTTTAGGATATTTAATTTAATATCGGAGTAAGTTTCATTTATGAAGATAAAATTTTCGATTATATACATATTTATAATAAAGCTAGCAATTTTCAATGCTATCTGAAATTAGTTTGACCTTTTCCGGGGGGGTGTATAAGAACTCTTTCAGCAGAGGGCTTGATTTAGCATAGATTTTACACAGATTAAAACAGTTTCTAATTAAAAGTCTTTTTATCAACCACCAATACACAAAACAATTGACTTGACATGCAACTTACATTTCAATTCAGCCGATCTACTTATCTCAGTGGTGAACCCTTCCAATCACAAAGTTAGAATTGAACATAAGGGGCAAATTATAAGTTATCAGCTTTATTTACCTTTTAGCACTTAGACTGCCCAAAAAACACTCTAACAATGGCTCCTTAGACCACCCCAAACCTCCCCATCCTGTGCATAGCTGTTGCACACGTAAAATGTTTCTATAATACAGAAAGCTACCAGTATTCACATATCTAGGACAGTTTGAGACAGTCTAGCTAAGAAACAGCTGTTTCAGTCTGTTTAGTGATGTATCTGTATTAATTTATTGCTTTCTTTAATTTTATTTAAGGAACTAGGAGAGTCAATATTTGCATGTACCAAGTGTTAAAGGGTTAACTTGAAATTTATACTCATGGGATAAAGAAGCCTCTGGATTTAAAATTTATACCCATGAGACGAAAAAGATTCCTACTGATTTGAAATTTATACTCAAATAAGAGGCATATTGCTTTTTACATCCAAAATTTATACACAGTGTCTATGTTCATGAGAGGAAGAATCCTACTGATTTTTAAAGTACGATTACCACTGTGCTTATACAGATTATAAAGAGGATGACTTATTGACTTCTTAATTATTGATAAAGCAATCAGTTGGTCAAAGGATTTGCGCCTGGTTGCTGCAGATAGCTTACAACTGAATTTTCAGATGATATGTCACCAAGTACATTAACTAATTGATATTAAGAGAAAACTTTTAAGGTTTTGGATAACAATAATCGAATAAGCATCCGGTTGCCTGTATCAATGACTCTTTAATTCTTAGATTCAACTTGTCGTTAGGAGTTTGTCAGAGGAATTGGTGGTGTGGATGTCCAGATTACAGTGTGCTATAAATTGACATTCTGTCTGTTGTCGATCACTTCTGTTGGGAAGGTGCCACACTAAACAAAATTACGCTGTTTACTGTTCTAATCAGGGCAGTGTTGAGTTCTAACTTATTATTGGAAAGAAACAGATGCTAAGAGGGATGCCTAGTGAAAACATAATCTGCCAAGCTAAAAGCTAAAAAAAAAATATCAGAAATTGTAGAAAATTTGCATTGCATAGACAGCTTCCTTAACCATTTATATAATCCACCAATTAAGAAATATTTCAGATACTGGCATCTTAACTACTTTCTAGAACATATGGTACCTGTACATGTACCTTACTCAAGCAATTTAGTAGTACTAATTGTCTGAAAATTAGATGTGTTGAAATTTATTTATATCTTGGGTATCTGATCCTTATTTGAAGGATTTTTAATTCTTTTTAAACAACAATGTTGTGAAAGCTGAATCTTTTAATGGAATACAGTTAAATTCATAATTTTTAGCTCCCCCCACCCCCAGTAATTTGGCTGTTAACCATAAGGACTAATTGGATATGACTAAGTGAGATACCAATAGAACGGGTCAGTATTACACACTGTTGCTGGCACGATAGATCGTTTAAACGATGTATCGTGATTCAGCTTCTCATGATTCGTATAATACATCCAAGGAATGAACAATTTAGTACAATATTGACTACTTCAGTTCAAAACTGCTGTTCCTTACACTGCCTCAAACCAACTGAGATATGTGAATAGTTTCCATATTTTGACAGTGCAGTTTGGAGCAGTCTAAGGAGCATTAGTTACTGCAGTTTGTGCCAGTCTAGTTGAAATACTGCTATAGAAGACAATTACATGTCCTGGTAGATATGGCAAGTTTAATAAACAAGCTCTTTCTTTTTGATTTATCAAAGGCTGAGTTTGTGCAGCTTATAACATAGATAGCAGGGTGAATTTAAAATCATAATATACTAGTTGAATGTGTTTCTCATGGATTTGAGGTGTCACAATTTATGTTATGCAATTCGAAAATACATAAGGTCAAATTTCATAGCTGACCAATCAGTTCATTAACTGCTTTTGGGGATCTATTTAGGTGCCAGAAACTAAGGACAACAATATTGTATACATAATATGCAATATCATGAAACTAAAATGAAAAGTTTATACAGAATGTTTTTGGAATTCAATGTAGCTTAAATTAGTGGAAGTTAACATGTTTTTTTATGACAAGTACAAATGTTCTTACTTTAAGGACCATGCATGAACATTTAGTTAATGGATTTACTGAGCTATTTAATGTCAATATTATAGCATGTAGTTAGTTAAACGACCTTTACTGAGTATGTTAATCTTCACATATGACTAGTAATTAAATAGTTCTTAATGGCTGGTTTTATCATGCCTACATTAACTACTTCAATGTAATAGATCTCTACAGTGTTAGAGGATTACCATATTACAGAAATCGCCTTTACCATTTTATTGTCCGGGTAAAACTCCAGTTTAAAAGAAAATATAACCTTTTGATCCAAACTCAAGGTCTTAAGCACTACTGGCTAGGGCCTTTCTGGAAAGTAGCTGTGTTTGTTTGTTCTTGGGGCTTAACGGCTGCGTCCACCTACATGTAGGGTGATAAAGCAGACAAGGATGATGGTGTCATAGCAAATCTCTTAGATTTTATGTACAAGGACATGACTAAAACCAGTGTTTGAAACTCAAGTCATTTCGGACTCAACACAGACGACCTTTCAAACTCAGCATGACGACGGTTAGGACTTACTTGACGATGGTTTAGACTTACTTGCAACTTTTCGGACTCGGTCTGGCGACATTTCGGACACGGATGAATAATTAAAAGACTGTTGAAAAGTTATGTGATATAGTAACAGCTCAATCTGATTAAAACACAGATCCTGTTTCGTTTTTTTTTTTATAGTTCAAAATTTCATTTTACTTGTCTTTACTACACTAGGATCTGGAAGAGTTGTTATCATTGGCGTGATTTGGATGATGTGAGGGATTAGCCAATGAAACGGCCTGTTACGGCAAGCTTTTGGCGTGATGTGCTCTAGAAACATCAATGCTGGTTGGTTAATCAAATATCTGACGTCATAGGGTCAAAAGCTGCTCGTATGACCTCTGACACGACCTCTCAAAACAACTGGTCAGATCTTTATGTAGTGTAGGCCATCGAAAGTATAAAAAAGGAAACAAAATATAGATCTGTATTTTAGTCAGCTGTTTTTTTGTTTTATGTGAGGCTGACAGTTTAACACTGCTAGTTCTCTTTTGTTTTATCAGCGACTATTGAACTTGACAATAAAGTATTGTTGAAAATTTGTGTATTTTTCCCCATCCACCGAAGAACCGTAAGATTTCTTTGCACGTACAATAATATCAGGATTATCGGTTAATCGGCTTTAATTATCCTGCTTTGATCGCAACTATTTCTAATACATGTATTTTCCAAAAAGACTTTTCTTTGTATGCACTAATTTATCGATTGGTACTGCCATCTACAGCAAGTTTGTCAAGGAATGCATGTCAACATGCAGCTTGCAGATTATATTTACAAATTTCTAGGGACTTGTAAAAACAGTGCATGTCGTGTAAATATTTACTTTTCTTTTTGTGTAGGTCATTTTAAAATAAATTCATCAGTATATTATTCTTTTTAAAACAATATACCGGTATTACTTTTACGGGAAACGATGATTATCATGAACTGTAAGTGCAACTAAAGTTTTATTGTTTGATGGAGCCTTTTAATAACCATGTGTTTCATGATTTGAATTGGCCTATTTCTAATAAATTCAACAGCTACTTTTTTAATTACATAGTACAGATATAAAGAAATGAAACATTCTTTTCATACACTGAAAATTTTGCCGTAGGTGCGTTATCCATGACTTTTTAAAATCGTGTTTGGTTTAATATAAATTGATTTGACAGTTGTGTTCAACCTTTCCTTTCAACTTATTCTGAAGTCCGAAACGTCACCTACCTTTCCTTTTGACTTATTCCCGAGTCCAAAATGTCACTTACCGACCAAATGTCACCTACCCGAGTCTGAAACGTCAAGGTCATATTTTTTGGAGTCTGAAATGTTGTAAGTTCAAAATGACGCGGAACCGAAATGACATGTAATTTTCAAGTTGAGGTCAGCTACATGTATATACTGAATCACACCTTATTCGCCCTACACCTTATAGCAAGATCTTGAATGAAAAAGTTCCAACTTCAGTATTATAGCATCCCTTACCTACATGTAATCTATTGATTAAATTACATTTTCTTGTTGTTCAAGCCTTAATGTTAATTTTCTTCTCATTTCAGCAAGAAAAATAATCAGATGAAATACTTCAAATTAAAATAAAGGAAGTTAACTGGGCTGTAAACTATAAAAGTCAAAATGCCAACAAGTAGTCGTGCACCCGGTTTCATTCGGGTTAAGCTCCTAAAAGCAGAACGTGGAGAGACAATGGATACAACAAATGACGACTTTGATCCATATATAGCAATTAATGTAAAGGAAACTGTTGATATACCAGGTAAAGTTTTATAATATAAACAGACAAAAAAGCTCTGTACAGTAATATAGGGCCGGTCGATATTTCAAGTTTTCATTATTAAGATAACGATATAAAAATCCAAAATATATTTCCATTATTGCAATATTATGGTGCTTCGAGCAAGGAGGCTCGAAATATGGGAGTAAACTTATCCAAAAGATTTCTCTGTGAAGCAGAGAATATTATTATGAAAAGGGAGATAAATCAAACAATATATTGGGTTATTGTGGTATCTTTAATGGTAAAATATATTGTCAATAAGATTTACATATTGCGATAAATGTAATCCCTAGTTAAACAACTTATGCATTAATAATAGTGATGTGCGGTTTTTAAATTTTCTTTCGGTTTCGGTTTTCGGTTTTTCTGTGGCAAAAAACCTTGGTTTCGGTTTTCGTTTTTTTAATTCTTTTAATGGTTATTTTATAGGAATACTTGGAAGCTAGAAAAGATATCAAACATATTGATGTAATTTGTAAACAACAATTTCTTTTTACTGTTATATGACTTTAATTATGACTAGTAAAAACAAAGTTACTGTTAAAAAAGATCTGACAAACTTTATCAAACACAACACCATAATAAAAAATTATTATAACGACATATTACCAATAAAATTACTGTAAAAAAAGATCTGACAAACTTTGTCAAACACAACACCATAATACTAAATTAACATAACGACATAATACCAATAACAATAAAGTTACTGTAAAAAAGATCCGATGAACTTTGTCAAACATCAAATTAAATTTGCATATCTTTCATAGTGAGCAAGCCATGGAGACATTTTACTTTTAGAGGAAGCCATCGTACGTTATTGACATCAGGCTTAGGCTTGCATAAATGAAATGGGGTTTAACGTCCTACTGTTCTGCTCCTAACCTGGGCTAATGAAGACGGGGCTTGCATAAAGGTTTGGATTATAAACCTAACTGAATTGAGAAAATAAATAGCCTAGGCCATCCAGACTTATTAAGCACTCTATACATAGGGGGTCTTCTTGGTCGAAAATAAAAACGGAAGTGGTGGCTACATTAAAATTTTGGAATTATTTTAAGTAAGCGAAGTACGGCTACATAAAAATTAGGATTTTTTCAAACATTTCCGAAACGAAAAACGGGTAAATTAAAAATTAGGATTTGGAAAAAAATAAGCCGAAACACACGGTTATTTTTTGTTTTATCGGTTCGGTTTTCCGTTTATATGTAAAAACCGATACCGTACGGTTAAATCGAAAAACCGCACATCCCTAATTAATAAAGCATAAAGTTTTGACGAAACTTAAAATATAGGTTTATCTCCAAAAGATCTTGGTTCCTTTCGATATTGGCATATATCCAATCGAAACTTCATGGATTATGGCCCCTGATTGTACGAAAAATCACGTTTTTAGCTTGTGGACGCTATACATGTCACAATTTTCACCTGATTTTGATGAAACTTGAAGTGTATGTTCATAACCCAAAGATCTTGGTTCCTTTCCATATTCGCGCATATCGGACCATATCTTCCTGGATTATGGCCCCTGATTGTACAAAAAATCACATTATTTTTTTAGCTTGTTCTCTGTCCATCTCTTGCAAAATGTGGGCGTATCATGCATGGCAACCGCTTGTTTTCTTTCCGCTTGTAATTCCATTATTACACAACAGACGGTCGGACTGTTATGTGTCCTCTGGGTTACTTTACACATAGAACAAGTGTAAGTCTTAATAAATGATGGAATTGTACAATTGTATTTGGCATTTGTAGATGTATTTCATCAGTAGAATTAAGATAATTATTACTTGAGGTTTGTTATATTCTCTTGAATTTCAACTATTACAATGAAACTTCCTGTTTAATCATTTCTTTTATTTTTGTCCCCCGCCTTTCAAAGACAGCAGGGAACTATTAAAATGGGTTCGTCCGTCCGTCTGTCTGTCTGTCCGTCATACTTTTTGGGACACAATAACTCTCTTTCTAATTGAGTTAGAATGTTCAAACTTGGTGTAGGTGTTTATTAGATCAATGCCTTGATGGGCATTTAATAGTTTTACCAAATAATATCTAAAATTACACACACATTTTACAAAGAATTCATGTATTCTAAGATGAATGTATCAAGAGATGGACCTTTGAGCTTATATATTAATGGAGCAGTTTCAGGTATATTTTAGTGAATAATTGAGCTACAATGTTCAAACTTGGTGTATGTGTTTATCAGGTGAATGCCTTGATGGAGTTCGAAGATGAGCATTTTCTGCTTAGGGTAAGCAGAGATAAGCAATTTGATTGGGTGATGCTTTGGGACACGATAACTTTACTTCTAATTAAGTGAGAGTGATGAAACTTAGTGTATAGTTTCATTACATCCATACCTTGACTAAGTTCGATAATGAGCATTTTCTGCTGAGGGTAAGCAGAGGGATAAGCAATTTGATTGGCCGAGACTGCGTAACACAATAACTAACTCTCCTTCTAATTGAGCTAGAATGTTCCAACTTGGTGTAGGTGTGTATTAGTTCAATGCCTTTATGGAGTTCGAAGATGAGTATTTTCTGCTTATGGTAAGCTGAGATAAGCAATTTGATTGGTTGATGCTTTGGGAGACGATAACTTTATTTCTAATTAAGTGAGATAGATGAAACTTGGTGTATAAGTTTCATTACATCAATACCTTGACTAAGTTCAATAATGAACATTTTCTGCTGAGGGTAAGCAGAGCGATAAGCAATTTGATTGGTTTAGACTTTGGAACACAATAACTCTCCTTCTAATTGAAGTAGAATGTTCAAACTTGGTGTAGGTGTTCATTAACTTGACTAAGTTCGATGGTGAGAATTTTCTGCTTAGGCTAATTAACGATAAGCAATTTGATTGGTCAAGACTTTGGAACATAACATCTCTGCTTTTAATTGAGGTAGAAAGTTTAAACTTGATGTAGATATTCATTAGGTTAATGTCTTGACTGTGTTCAATGATTAACATTTCGAGCTGAAGCTAAGCAGAGCTAATCAATTTCAATGGTTGATGCTTTGGAACAAGATAATCTTGATTCTATCTGATAGAGAGTGATATTTTGATTGCTCGATACTGTTGAAAAAAATAAAAATGTGATTAATTAATATGTGACATCTATTTATTTTGGGATTTCGGCGGGGGACATCAGCCTCACTGTTGGCTTGTTTCTATTTAATAAGTGACAAGACAAGAATAATCAGCCTTGGGACAAATCTTTCTGAATTTTTACTACACATATTGATTTGTATCACTCATATTTTATAACTTTGTCATAATCAATAATAAATCAGCAACTATTTTTGGAATTCCATGATGGTCAGACATTTTTTCATCAAATTTACATATTAATAAATCAAGAACTATTTTTGGACTTCGCTTATGGTCAGACAATTTTTCATTAGATTTACATATTAACATACCGTTTATACATTTTTACTTAATTATCTTTAATATTTGATTATGTGAAGATGTCTTTTTCCCACTTAATTTCATGTCATTTTCTGAAACTTGAGGTATCGTATATTTTGCTGTATGTGACTCCCTTGAATTTAAATAATTTATGAGAAAAAATGTTTAATATTTGTAATAGCTGAAATGATTTGTTTATCACCACTAATCAAAACAGATATTATGACTCATTGGCAACATCCTCTCCTATATTATATATATAGTTGGTTTGTTCAGTTGGGACAAGAAAGCCTCATATGCTCACACTTGCAGGGATCAAAATCATGACTGCAAGTCAGAGGTGACTAGGCAGCTAGAGCTTGAAGCATGACACTCTAAACCACTTGCCCCCACCCCCACCCCCACCCCCACCCCCAGCCAGGAGGGTTCACACATACTCTAGTAGCAAAACCAGCTTAAATCTTCTGAAGTCACAGTACTGGTTACGGTATATAATAGGCATTAATGCGCTCATATATTCTACTTGAAACAGCAAATTTCCTCAAAAAGTAATGAAATGTGCATGCTAGCTGAAGCTGGCAATTTTAAGTTGTCCCATTGAGACCGTCAAGATAAGCCAGCAAATTTAAGCTAGAGCCCTAGGTAGCATAACAAATGACAGCTATTTAAACAGCTCAACTGGGCGGTGTGCAAGATTGACAAAAATTAAACATAAAAATGAATACCACTACCAAGAAACCTGTTATATTAAATGTGTAACATTTCAACTTACTATGTTTTTTTTAAAAAAAAACACAATCACAGTTTGATATTTCTGATTTCATGATTTTGAAATATTTGAAAACAATATTAAAGAATGACCTGTGTCAGCATTTAATCAATCAGAATAGCACTTGCCGTATAACTCAGATTTGATTTTCAAATATTTTAATCATTTTTAAGGACGAGGAATAGAATTAGTTCAGAGTAAAAAGACTCTTTATCCTGATTGGAATACTTGTTTTGATGCCCATCTGTATGATGGTCGAGTTATTAATATGGTTGTCATGGAGAGACCTACACGATTTTTAGCAGAAATCAGTATTGGAGCTAAAGTATTGGCTGATAAATGTGTGAATGGAAATGTTACTACTGTTTGGGTAAGTTACTTTATCCCCCAATAATAATACATTGTGTGATAAATTTCATAATCTACTGCGATATCTCCTTATGGGATATCGCTTTACTTCAATTTGATTGGTCAATCAAAAAGGAACTACCTTTTTTTTTATTTCAAAGAACAGTTCATTTTTTATTAAAAATAACTTCTGTCTTATTAAAAAGGGAACTATTTTTATTTAATTGACTTTCATGGAAACACTTGGTCAATATAAAAGACTTTGAAATGGTTGAATTGCTGTCAAAAAATGATGTATCACTACGCCGTAATGTAATCAGGTTCAGTAAAAGTGAAATAATATATATTTATTTGTGCATGCAAGAAAGGATTGAGTGATAAATAAAATCTCCTACTCGTCTTTTTATACGCCCACGTATATTGTCGTTGTCCCCGTCTGGACGTCTGTCCGGACGTCCATCCACAATTGTGCCCCTCGTACTCAAATAGCGTAAAAATATGATATATATCAAGGTTGTGGACGCTCTAGAGGTCACAATTTTCTTCTGATTTTGATGAAACTTGAAATGTAAGTTTATAACCCAAAGATCTCTGTTCCTTTCGATATTCGCACATATCAGACAGTAACTTCCTGAATTATGGCCCCTGATTGTATGAAAAATTTCTCTTTGTTTAGCTTGTTCTCTATCCATCTCTTGCAAAATGTGGGCGTATCCTGCCTGGCAGCCGCTGGTTTGATATAAAAAAATATCAACACTCGTCGATAAAGTAAAAAAACTCGGCAGAGCCTCGTTTTTTTTTACTTTATCGACTTGTGTTGATATTTTTTTTATATCAAAAAAGACGAGTAAGAGATTTTCTATTTATTCACACAGTATTTTGCTCAAAATAGAGTGGCGCCCCTTTTATTGCAGACACTCTGCTTTTTGGATTAATATCAATGAGATAATATTTACCATGTTTTATGACAATGGAATTTTTGTTAAAAGTTTAAATCAATTACAATAATTCTCACCTAGATTGATATGTAGTTCACTGGCAGTGCAATTTATACTCAACTTCTGTTTGTCTTGTAATGGAGGCTGGATAGATCATAAAATATGACAATTCAAATGCAGGAATTTTGGTTGTACGATTCCATTAAAGTGAAACAAAAACTAATAGACTCTTAAAATAGTTGTTTTGCCAAAATGAAAGACTTTAAACTAGTTAGATTTTCCAAGAATTTAAACTCTAAAACATAATAATAAAATATAGTTAGATTTTTAGCTTTAATGGGTAAAAGCAATTAAAAATTTCAAAATTGGTTTAATGCTAAAAATTGTTGTATTCTTTTGAAGAAATAACTTCAAATATGTTCAAAATTGACCTGCTGGAAAGATTTGAAATGAATGCTCTGCTTTAAAGTAGCTAAGTCTCTAACTCAATATTCTCAAAATATTTAAGACAAAATAAACATTTTACCATTGGTACACGAATGGTGTGCCATAATGCCCTTTCTCGCCATTTGTAAGGAACTTGAAGAACGAGGCTAGACATATTCCACAAGTCATGTCAAATGGTGACCACATATTCTTACCTGGAGAGCAAGCGCAATAAATACTGTCGGTGCAAACTGGAATAACCAGACGCTAGAGATTGCCATTCGATTGGGACTTCTGGCATATTTCGCCAAACATAACTGATTAGAAATTACAGTATAAACAGAAACGACTGAACGTAAATCAGTTTATATACCTTTATAATACATTATTATTTGCATTGTGACCCATTTGTGTCAGTTTCTAGGTCCCAAATATTAGCGATTTAGCTCCTTTAAACCTTTCTTATAATGACATTAATTTTTGGTGGGTAGAGTTAGGGTTAGGTACGATCACATTGTGATTCAATTTCATTGATGCAAAACATTAATTGTGATATCACATATCATTATTTTGTGCTTTGAATGCCCATCCCATCCCACCATCTGATGGTAAAGGATAAAGCACACGACCATGACACTTCTCTCATAAAATGAGTTGTTTTACCCCACAAACTCCCCTCTGGATCCTCCCCTCCATGTTCATTTTCATTGCCTGCCACAAGAGATGTACAGGTTTAAATGCTGTGTTATTGAATTTATGTCATTGATAGAAAAGTCAAATAAATGTATTATGTTCCAATAAGAACTTTTTATTTTATTAATCTAGAATACTCTTGAACCTTCAATCCTGACCAATATTGAATTTTATCGATAAAACTTTGCCAAATATGTAAATCGACCATTGATGTTGATATTTCATTAGAAGCTTTTATTATCATAGAATGTTTGGAGATATTTGGTTTCATTATGCTTGCGAGGAGAAAATTGTGATGTAGCAACTTTCGTGAATCACAAATAATCAAGAGTCCAAAAGTTTTATAATGTTATTGCAGATAAAAATGAGATAAGAATTCAATAATGTTAATTTAATGCAATTTATCAGGATTTTGCAAATAACATTTGTGTGTAGTCTTTAATAGATAGATCTGTATTTTGAACAAATACTTCTTTTAATACTTTGTTTTGAAATATATATTTCTTGCGTAAATCTGCAGAAGAATTTCGAAAAACTTCATTTCAAGTTGAACGGTAATATGAAATCAGGAATGTGTCTTACAAAAATTTTGGAAATATTTTTTGTAGCTTGACTTACGGCCATCAGGAAGATTAGAAGTACAAGTTAGATATTTTCCAGAGAAGAAGGAACAAGGAAAAGAATCTCGTAAGTAAAAATATTTGTTGACTGAAACTTTGAAATGCAGAGAGATTCATATTCATATGTTGAAATAACCGATGTCTGTCATATTTGCATTTCTTAGGAGCATTCTACACACTAGAAGTTTGAATGGATATTCTGCAAATTTGCAGTCATTATACATTAGGTCATAAGAATAAATTCTTTCAAAAGACATAATTATCAAATCATAAAACACAGAGTGTTCACACTTTCTGTAGTTTGACCCTTCAATGCAACTCTGAGAATGTAGCTGACAGAAAATGCTAACCATTATTTGATTTTGGCAGTTTTAAAGTAGCTAAGTCTCTAACTCAATATCATCCAAAGTCTAACACGTTGAAAACACGAATTATTTGTCAATTCAAATCAACATTGATGTTGTTATCTTACCGGGAAAAAGTAGGCTTCTGATATCCAATATTTAAGACAAAATAAACATTGTACCATTGGTACACGAATCGTGTACCATAGTGCATTTCATCGTCATCTGTAACAAGTGACCAGAAAGAGCGAGGCTAGACATATTCCACAACTCATGTCATACGGCGACGCCATAACTTGTCTGTAGCGCTGGAATAACCAGACGCTAGAAATTTCTATTCAGTTGAGACTCATGCCGTATTTCGCCTGAACTAACTGATTTGAAATTATGAGGCAAAATGGAAAGAATTAAATATAAATCAGTTCATATACAATCAGATTACATTATTATATGCGTTGCGACCCATTTAGGTCAATTTCTAGGTCCAAAATATTAGCGATTTAGCTCCTTTAAATTGAATAAAATTCGTATTTTACAAGCATACAAACTCAAGCTTCTTATTTCAAATTTCATAGAATCAAAATTTTCTGAAATTTAATACAATTTAGAAATTCTCATATGATCATTGCGATATACGAGAAAAACAGTTTAAACATTAAGCTTCAAATATCTAAATTTGAAACTGGGCATGAAATTGGAAATTTCGTATTATCAGATTGGTTTAATTTAGAGAGTGTCAGAATTTATAGAAAATAGTTGTTAAAAATAGATAAAAATCATGATAAATGAAACCTGGAGACAGTAGCATTTTAAAAGACATATATTGTGGCTGAATATTGGTGATTTAATCTGCAGGTTGTGGTCCTGTTTATATAAGATTCAAAATCCTTGGCAAAATTCATGTGAAAAATTTGAATTGCCTCTGTGAGGGCTCTTGATTAAAGAGTTTGCAAGTCAAATCTCTATTTATTTTGTTTTTGTTTTACCACAGATTGCCAAGGTGTTTTTATTTTTGTTTTACCACAGCTTGCCAAGGTGTTTTTATACAGGGATTTAGCTATTTTTTTAAAGATGCATTATTTAAGACCTAACTCTGCCTAGTGCAGGTCTTTTTTCGGACTTCAAATGTTATATAGATATTTTAACATTTATTAACATGACAAGCCCATAATCAACTCTCTGGGTCATTTAATGGCTCTGATTTTAAGTAGATTAAAACTCTGTAACCATTTAAGAGTTTAATGATGAAATAGATAATCGAGACTTAAACAATCTCATACTGCACACAGCGATGCATCTACTTCATACCTCGAGAATACATCACTGTGCTAAATGCCGTCCATTTAAAACGCTCACGTGATCATTTTGGGTCGGGACTTATCGACTTGTGTTGTCAATGACATATATATACTGCTATATATACCTGAAGCACGTTGTTTATGTAAACAAATATGTCAAGTTAGCAAAATGCCGACTTCTGCTACTCCGGTAAAAGCAATATATACTCTTCAAAAATAGTTGGGGATATTCAGAAACAATACAAAACTGCTGTTTTTATTAGAGGTAACCAGTGTATGTTAATAACAGGCCAATTGCCTACACATGAACATAAACATTTCATATGGGCAGCCATGGGCAGCTTATATGACGGCCCCATTTCACTCGCAGAGAGATACGCCGTCAAAAGTGAAAATGGACGTTTTTGATTTTTGTCTTAATAATGAGTAATTGTTCCACCAATCCTCAGACATTCAGCAATTCGTCGTGGCATGCTCCTAATCAACCGTCCAATCACGATTTGGGGCAATCTGACCAACTCCTCTTGCAGTGCCACGGCAAATTCTTGCAGTGTTGTTGGTTGACATTGACGTTGACGAACACCTCTCCCGATCAAATTAAACGTAACACACAAAAGCAAAGATACGCTAAACAGTAATTCTTATGCAAGAACCGATAGGAAAGCAAACATGGATAGATAAACCAGCACGCGGCAGTTTGAATCAACCCTTTCTTGAAATGTCAAATTTGACAATGGACCCCTCACACGTGTATGACGCTATTGCGTGTCGCATGTGCAGCTCAGGGGTTCTGTTGGGGCGATAAGTTCTTCATCTGTAAACATACTCTCAAAGCATTTTAAGTGTCCATGACTATTTATCATATCACAACCTGCATAGGTATTTGCATTTCAATATCCCCTATTTTTTTTTAAGAGTATATAATATGTGCCAATGGGTGATATTGCAATACAGTCTTTATCATTGTTTATCTTTCAAAACAAGGTTAGATACTCCTAAATTTGCCTTCGCAAACAAAGCCGCGTATCTATCATGGGCGCCACCATATTGAATAATTAGTGGACTATTTTGTGCTTCGGCTCTAATCCGTTTGGCATCTTTTATACACACAACGGCTAAATAAATATATTAAATTTCATTCAATATGAAAATAGAAGAGAAATAAATACTTCTAAAAATTTCTAAACGCATACTCAGTGTTTCCAACTAAAATCGTCGAATTAAAATGTCGGTTAATTAGGTTAGGGCCTGTTCTCAGGCGGAGCTAACTGTAGTCAGACAGCCTAAGTTTGGGATGAAAGAATCTAAGCTACATTTTATCAAAACTTCAAACACTCATAACTTTGCATGAATAAAGTAAATTTTAATATTCATTTTTTATTATCTATTTTTGAACTATTATTGCCAGAACGACCAGCTCTGAATCTAACTCTTACATAATTCATCTTTATTTATTTTGATGCATAAATACTGGAAGTTAAAAATGTTATTGATTTGGTGGTAGAGCTCAACTTGTTTCTCAGTATCAATGCAGATAATAATATTTGTATACAACTATCCATCTGTGAACATTACCACGCATATCTTATGTAACAATTATCACATTACATCATAAAGTTTGCAATTATTACAAGATAATTGATCATACCTTCAGGTCATAGTAAGAACTTTTGTCTGTCTCTTTGTGACAAGATAATTGTTGGATGTCTGCTTTTATTATCTGATTTAACTTAACCACATTTTGATTGCACAATTATCTTGGATAGACTAGCCTGTTTATTGATGGTCTTTTAATTGTTAATCATATCCATCATTTCATTTAGTAAGATGCAATTGTTTTAATGTGTTTATTTATTGTCCAAGGGATGTTGCAATCATTCTATTTAATTAGAAATACATTTTTATACTCCCACATTGATTTTAATTGCGTGAGAGAGATCAAACTTGGTTTTCCCATTTCTGTAATATCTTGACTAAATTTGATAATAAATATTTGTGCTGTCTATCTAAATGACGATTAGAACTTACAAAAGAAGAATGTCTGCTAGCTGATGTTTGGTTTATTTTGGACTCACAACGTAAGGCCTGGCAAGAAAAAAGTGCCTAGTCGTGTACATGCTGGCAGTTAAATTCAATTGTTGTCTGGGCAAAATTTTCCTCATAGCACACTGTTTGGCATATGCCCGATCTGGGTTGGTGCAGATCATTAGGAGGTTAAACTCCATTTCATTCATTCGTTCATTCATTCTTCTAATAAGTTGTTAAAAGAAATTCTATGGCAAATGTTTATTGATGTTTTATTTGTAGAGAAATGGGGTTTAATGTCCACTTGACAACTTAGGTCATTTCGGGACTAACATATGGTTTAATTTTATTTTAATAATTCGCTTGCGCGTAGGCGTCTTTAGCAGTGGGAGGAAACTGGAGGACCCAGAGAAAACCCACGAGGTTGGACAGGCAACCCTACTCCTTGTCACGTACAACCGGGGATTCAAAACCACGACAGTTGACTCAATGACATGCCGTACGATACAGCAGGCATGTGCTAACCACCCAACCCCCCTTGTTTTATTTGTTGTCAAAATGTAATTGTTATACATTACATACAGAATATATATTAATGTATTTATTATATTATTGAGTTTATGTTAAGCCTAAGTAACACTCCTTTCCTCAGTATAGATCCTGTTGCACCAAATTGAACTGAGATCACAGATCCTACATTTTAGTTACTATAGTCAAAGACCACTACATATTTTAGAATAATAATTTATTAATAACAACTGTGGAAATAGGAGGTTGATATCTGATTACACATACTATAAAGATTAATGGTCAATATCAACCGCTTACTTTTTGCATGTGCAAGTTAAAGCATGTGCACTTAAATTAATTGGGGTTGTGGTTTATTGGTGGTTAATATTATCTCATTATTTAAAACCCCTATTGAGTTAGCAGCAGGTAAATGCACTAAATAGGGGGAGTTGTGGCGGATCTGCGAGTTAGATACTGGCTTGCTAACCAGGAGGTTTTGGGATTTGTGGCAAGGACAGTGTCAAGTCGTTCGGATGTGTTGAAAACCTGAGGTCCCGTATATACATTGGCATGAACGTAAAACTTCGGTAGATTTCGATATTAGAGTAGGCTATGGCGCCTCTGTCCAGTCAAAATTTGTCTCATAGCACACTGTATGACTTCATTCCGTCTTCATTAGCCCAGTCGGTTCAGAAAAATAGGACGTTTACCTCCATATCATTTCAATCATAATACTGGGAATAGTCACCTTAAAACATCAATTTTCTCAGACAAGTTCTATGGAGGCATTGGCATATATTTAACAGGAATTGATGGACCATTAAAGAAAATTAAATTTGATTTTCAGTAACTTGGCTATACCTTCATATTGGAGATGTTTAAATTAGATT